ATGATAATAATAATACAAATGATAAAAATAACAATAATACTAATGATGATTCAGGAAGCACCTCCCCTCAATCTCTCTTTCCCTTCGCCAGGTGGTTGAGAATGGGAAAGTGCAGTTGGACGGGCTTCGTTCGCACGGTCAAGCAGGTGATCACGTTCATATTCAGCCACGTGGGTCTGTGTGCGTTTGTAGCCGGCTATTCGGTTGCTGGGGCGTTCCTGTTCAGGGAGCTCGAGCAGGACAAGGTCGAGGAGTACTATGATTCGGTCGTCAACAGGAACGAATGCTTCAGCAAACTCTATAACATCACGGGTGAGTTGAGAAGGGGGGGGGGGGGTAATGGTGATTGTGATGGTGAATTATTATTCACATGGAATAATGATAATACCATTCACAAAAATAATGATGATGATAACAATAACAGGAAGATAGCAATAATAATGATAATGATAGTAATAATTATAATGACAGTAATTATAATGTTGAAAACAGTAGGCTATTATAATAAAAATGATAATAATAATGATAATGATAATAATTATGATAATGATATTAATGATGATAAGAATCATGATGATGAGGATGAGGATGAGGATGAGGATGATAATGATGATGATGATGATGGTGATAATAATAATAGTAATAGTAATAACAATAATAATAATAATAATAATAATAATCATAATGGAAATAATATTAACAATAACAATGATGATGATGATAATGATAATAATAATGATATTAATGATAGTGGTAATCATGATAATAATAGTGATCCTAATGATAAGGATGATGATGATAACAATAATGATAATAATAACGATAATAGCAACAACAACAATAATAATAATAATGGTGGATAATGATAATTATAATGAAAATAATAATGATAACACTAATAATAATGATAATGATGATTATAATGGTAATAATGATAATGATAATTATAATGGTAATAATGATAATGATAATTATAATGGTAATAATAATAATAACAATAACAGATATAGCGATAATAACAATAGTAATGATAATAATAATAACAACAACAACGACAAAAACAACAACAACATTAATAACAATAATAATAATAATAATAATAATAATAATGATAATAATAATAATAATGACAATAATAATGATAATAATAATAATAATAGTAATAGTAATAAAAATAACTATAGTACTGATAATTATGATATCATTATCATTATCATTATAATTATGAATATTATTATTATATTGATAGTAATAATGAAGATAATAATGACATTAATATTAATAAAGATTATTATTCTTGTTGTTGTAATAACTGTTTTCATGATTATCATCATTATGCTTGTTGTTGTCATTGCTACTATTGTTGTTATTATTATCATCATCATTATCATTAACATTGCTATTATTATTATTGTTATTATTATTATTATTATTATTATTATTATTATTATTATTAATAATATCATTATTATTATTATCATTATTATTGTTGTTGTTGTTCTTTTTTATTTTTGTTATAATAATAATAGCAACGACAACAATAATAATAATAATAATTATAATAATAATGATAATAATAATAATAATAATAGTAATAATAATAATAATAACAATAATAACAATAATTATAATGATAATAATAATGATTATCATTATTACTATTATTATTATCATCATCATTATTATTACTATTATTATTATTATCATTATTATTATCATTGCTATTATATCCCATTATGACCCACTACCATTACACTCCCGCTGAAAGGGAGACGCAGCTGCATGTTTACAATCCGAGCCCCGCTACCCGCAGAGGAGGTGGGCTTCCAGCTCAACGGCAGCCACTGGAGGGACCTGCTCACCTCGGCGGCGTGGCAGGAGCGGGTCCTGCAGCAGCTGGAGGCGTTCGAGGAGGACCTGATCGAGTCGGTGAGGAACCAGACGTACGACCAAGGGCCCGAGGAGCAGAGGAAGAGGTGGAGCGTCATCGGGTCCCTTTTCTACTGCGTCACCGTCATTACGACTATAGGTGCGAGGAGGGGGAGGGAGCAGGGGGAGGGGAGGGAGGGAGAGGGGTGAGGGGAGGCGGAGGGAGAAGGAGGGGAGGGGGAGGGAGAAGGAAGGGAGGGAGATGGAGGAGGGGAGGCGGAGGGAGATGGAGGGGAAGGGGGAGGGAGAGGGAGATAGAGGGGAAAAGAGAAGGATGAGAAGAAAAAAGGGTGGAGAATGGGAGGGGGAAGGAAAAGGGAGGGGATCGAAGAGGAAGAAGGAAGGGAAGGGGGGGAGGGAAGAGGGAGGGGGGAGAGGGAGGGAGAGGAAGTGGAAGAGAGAGAGAAAGAAAGAGAGAGAGAGAGTGAGAGAGAGAGAGAGAGAGAGAGAGAGAGAGAGAGAGAGAGAGAGAGAGAGAGAGAGAGAGAGAGAGAGAGAGAGAGAGAGAGAGAGAGAGAGACAGAGACAGACAGACAGAGAGAGAGAGAGAGAGAGACAGACAGACAGACAG